CACCATCTTGTTTTTTCTGACCTGGAGCCCGGTATCTTTGAGGCTTCAATTTGAAAATCCACGTGGAGGACAGCTGTCCGCTCACTTGGCAGTCGGCTTCCTTCTCCACGATGCTTCCTGTTTTTCTGTCTTAGCCTTTGTTGTTGTGAAAAACCAGCCTTGCCATCCTCCATCGCCCCAAGACAATGGGAAAGGAAACTGTACAGTGGAAGCAAGAAGAGAGGCTGAGTTTTTATGGAACTACCCATGGGTGGGAGACGCCACAAGAACGTCATTGCCTGCTGCCTGGCTCTGGTCTTCCTGTTTCCTCTCTGGTCTGTTCCAGAGCAAATGTCTTCCAAACTTCTCATGAACAAAAACGTTTTTGAGCCTGCTGCTGGGTTGTTCCATGAAGGGCAGACTTGAGTTGACACGCCAGCCTCTTTAGTGCTTCTGTGAATAAAGTGAGATTATATCCCTGGAATTACAAAGCTATTGGGAAACAGTGTAAAAATCACTATTATATATACACACACACATACATACATATTTATGCGTACATACATATACACATACACATACACTGACAAGAATGGCACAGTCCTGGGATCACACACACACATACACACACACAACAGAAAGAAAACATTAACAACTGGACGAACCAGGGGAGGCTGAGTTGAGCCTTGATTGAAGGAAAAGATTCTCTTAGGCAGATGTGAGAAAGAGATGGAGGCAGCTTGTGGATCGTGGGTTCTGAGAGCTGCTGGTCATCTTTGTTTTCAGTCTTTCACTTAGGAAAGCAACTTAACTTTTGCCTGTCTCAGTTTCCTCATCTGTAAAATGAAGATAATAATAGCACTTACACGTTTGTTACAAAAATCAAATGAGAGATTTATAAAGTGTTTCTAGTAATAATAAAAAAATGTTATTAACTCACATTCTGTCTGATCGAGGGGTCTCTTCTGGGGACGCAGGGGTTTCTTGAGCTAGAGGCCGGCTTTGTCCCCTCCTGATGTCACTGCTGCCCATGAGGAGATACTCCAGGCAGGAGTGGGTGGGGGTGGGGAGCAATGATGAGCCCCTTGTACCTTCACATGTTATTAAAGAAAAACAACACCCAACCCTGAAAACACAACCCTCCTTTCCTCCCTGGTTTCATCCCTGGTTGGGTTTTTCTTTTCTTCCTCTGGTAACGACTGGAAATCCCCGCTCCCTCCCCAGGCCGGAGCAGCTACAGGTGAAGGGAAACCAGGCTTTTTGATGTACAAGCCTCGGTCCCCACCTGCGCGGGCAAACTTCCCTTGGTTTAATGTTGGCGCTGTGACGCCATCTGATCTCTGGTCTGTGCTCTGTGCTGTGCTCCAACCGACAGGTAGTCTGTGGGCCCGGTACGGACTGAATTCAGTGCAGGTGTGTGGGTGTGTGCACATGGGTACAACGATGGTGGTCCTGACTAGGGCACGAGGGGGGGGTACAACGAAGATGCCATCAGCCAGCAAACATTCATGAGGGCCTAGTGTCTGCCAGCCATGCTGCTAAGCACCGGGGACACAACCCTGCCACGTGACCAGGCTCCCCCAGAGGTTTCCTAGACGGTCTCAGAAGCTCCCATTGGCTTTAGACCTAGGACTCTTTGATTTACACAGGGTTCTATTATTTTTGGGGGGAGGGCAGGGTGAGTAAGCTAAGGACATAAGAGTTGAACAAAGCATCTGATAAAGCATCTTGGGCTATTCTCAGAGAGATGGATTGGGTAAGCCTAGACTCAGAACTGGTCAGAGGGCCAAAAGAGGACTGGTTAACGGTTCAGTGTCAGCACTGAAGGTCTCCAGTGGAATGCACCATGGACCTGTGCTTAGTCTGTGCTGTTACCTAAAGGCCCAATCCCAGCTAACAAGCCCACCAAATGAGGAGAGGACAAACAGCTGGGGGTGGGGTGGGGGTGCAGGGCAGGGATAGCTAACATAACGGAGGCCAGAATCAAGATTTTAGAGCACTGGGTTGAATCTAAGAAGATGAAGTTCAAAAAAGAAGGAAACAGCTACTTATTAAATGCCTACTATGTCAGGCACTATGCTGAGCGCTTCACAAATATCATCTCACTGGATCCTCACCATAGCGCCTGCGGGGAGGATCGTACCCCTTTCACAGTTGAGGAATCTGAGTTACACAGCTAGTACATGCCTAAGGCCAGATTCAAATTCAAGTCTTCCTGACTCTGGGCAGCTAGACGGTGCAGCAGATGAGTGGGGAGCCTGGAGTCAGGAACCCCTGGGTTCAAGGCACATACTAGCTGTGCAACCCTGAGGAAGTCATTTCACCCTGCTGGCCTCAGTTTCCTCTTCTGTAAAATAAGCTGGAGAAGGAAATGGCAAACCACTTGAGTATCTTTGCCAAGATAACCACAAAAGAGGTCACAGAGTCAGATATGACTGAACAACCTCCTGACTCCAGGCCCGTCACTCAATCCCCCTGCCCCTGGTGGGAGGACAGGGATGCCTGCCGCAGCCCAGTTCTGAGGGGTAGGCGTCATCAGCCTTCAGAAGCATTTTCCATCGCCAGAAACTCTATCAAGTGTAAGTCAGGGCTAACGGTCACACACACGAACAATCAGCTCACTTAAGAATTCTTATTCTGTTCATACTTCTATTACCAGGGCTGACAGCCGGCCTCTTATGAGAGAGATGAGAACTACCACATTCCCCCTTGTGTGAAAATCACACACTCTTACAAAACGCGGGCTTCATTTACCCTGTGGTCTGTGACAGAGGCTGAAGTTCTTCAATAATCACAGCTGGACACAGACGTATAAAGACAGAGGCAACCTGAAAGACCTGACCACGAGTCTTCTTGGCTGTGTCCAGCAGTCTTGAGCCACAGAACTGGAAGCCACGCGTCATTTGCACCCAGGACCTTCAATGGTTTGGTCACTGCTAATACTAGCAAAAACCAAAGCTTGATTTTAAAGCTCTTTAAAAGGTTGTATTTAAACTCCCAAAGAAGGACACTTTCCCCCTTGTCTATTTTTATACAAACTCTGCCTACTCACAATTAGGTATACCGCAAGAATTGACTCTCAGTGATGTGGGGAGAAAGCCCCCAGACAGCTGGGAGAGTCCAGCTCAGTCGCTGTCTTAGCATTGTCGGGGAGGGGGAAATACTGTCTCGGGGGGCCCCAGGAAAAAGAGTTAGTGAGAGAAAATACAAAAACTGCCGTGGAACTTGGCCCTGGTCCCAATCAGCAACTCACATCTACAACAGGAAACTGGTCAGCAGAGAACTGAGCCAAGCTGAAGACCTTGTGTCAAGCCTGAATGACATTGATAAAGCGCACTACACTGTAATGTCTCTCTCAGGGCATTCTCACGGTAATCCTGTGAGGGAGGCACTATCGTGCGACTTATCTACACAGCTACAGGAAACTGAGGCTCAAGAAGGTAAATTAGCATGAGATACCGTGGGCAGGGGCTCATGTTGCGGACACTCCCTAGATGGCCTCCACTGGCCTGCGACTTGCCCACACGCCTAACGGCGGCCAGGATTTGACCCATTTGATTCCACACCAAGCACACCACCCTTTGTATCACGATGCTTTTCTATAAACTGGACCACTGGGTACCAATCTCAGCAATGGGTGGATGCCAGGAGCTTCCTGAAGTCGACTGTCTCGATTTAATTAAGAGGTTGGGGGCTATGGAAAATTGTCAAGGGAAGAGGGGTCCTGCGGTAGCAGCATGGACGAATGGGATTTCTATCCGATGATGAACCGGCCCCTGCCTCTCTGTCCTAGGTGGAGTCCAGTCTCACCGACTGCCTGCGGCCATCAGAACACACCATCCCGGTCCACCATGGCTAATGATCCAAACGAAACCTGTGCGTGACGTGAGCGTTCCCTAATTATACACACAGCACACACCCAGACAGGCGTGCTGCCTAGGCACATACACATGTTGATTAAAATCCTTTCAGGGATCGCCATGTGCTCCCTAACACAAAAGCCCACCTCTCCAGGGCCGGTCCCGCCCAGGTTGATGTCCTAGGTGATGACTCGGCACCCAGATGGATGCCAGGGGTGAGCAAGCAGGCTGCAACATATCATCAGTGAGAGGCGGCAGTCAAGATGCGATTGAGGATAGGAAGTAATGGAAAAAACCAATCACGGGCTGAGGAGACCGGACAGACCCGAGGGGCACACTCCAGACCAACTCCAGACCAACTCGCTAGGAGATGGCCAGGACCCTCCAGGGAGGACTGACAGGAAATGCGGATAACAATGACACAGGAGAGGAGGAGTGCCCGCCAGGCAAAGCAGGCTCGCCTCTGAATCCCCTCCTGCTGGGGCCCAGGGCCTGACACATTGTAAGTACTTAACACACACCGGCTGACTGGCCTTTAGCAGGGCTGGGGAGGAGGCCACAGTACAGCAAGCCAGGCAGCAGCTTCTATTTCCCAGACATAATCTGCTCCATCCATAATTCCCAGACGATAAATATATTTCCTGCTCTTCAGTGACACGCTCTGGGCGGTGCATAATGAAGGGGGGATTACTACAAGGGCAGGGGGCCTCGACCCATTCCCACCCTAGAGACAGAACCAGCCTCCCAACAGAAACCATGCATGGTTCCAAAACGATGACTCATCGCCTCCTTTGGCAAACACGCTCACCGTCACGTCAAAGATACTCCTCAGAGTTTTCCATGTTCATGGAGGGGGCACTGGAGGCAAGGATGTGGTGATGACCAAAGGGGGGTGGGGTGTGTGTGTGTGTGTGTGTGTGTGTGTGGTGTGTGTGTGTGTGTGTGTGTCTCTGACATTTTTCTGCTATTTGAACAGTACATATTTATGGGGTCTGGGGTGACAGCCAGGGGGATACAATGGAGAGAGGACAAGATTCGAGGCCCACAGGACCTCACTTCCAGGCCCACCTTAGGCACTCTCTGCTTCTGTGTGTGACCTCGGACCAGTCATTCCCAGACCCACTACCCCTGTGTCCTTCCCATAAACACAACAAGCCAAGCTTCTGGAGGCAATTTTTAATAAATCTGAAAAACAGAAATGCCACTGGGACAAAATCATGTAGCGGGAAGGGCAGGGGAGGCCCAGTACAAATGGAAGCCTGTCAAAGCGACCTGAGGGGGACAGCTTCATCATCAGGGACAAGGAGGAAAAGCCCATCCCCTCAGCACTCTCTGGCTTGGCCACACCCAAGCATGCCCGGAGGATTACTCCAGAAATCAGAGAAGGGTGGAAATCATGCTGCTCCTGTCAAATTAAGATCCTTTCCCCTGGATGAATTCCAAGGATCAATTCATTTCAAGGCCACCACAGTAAACATGAACAGAGGTCCCTTTCCCACGGCCTCAGGGCTAAGCCTGGGGTGCCCCAAGCCAGGCCCTACACCCACCCCAGGGGGTGCCCCGCAAGCACCTGGTGGACCAACGTGGGTCACTTACGTGGAGCTGGAAACGCCCATCTCTGGCCTCCTCCTTCCTGCTGGTCGAGCACTAGGCCCCTGAGCCAGCTTCTTCCTTGAGAGGGCCACAGTCCGCTCTGCTCTAAGCCATGGAGAAGCCCCCACCCCCATCCCCAATCCCACTCAGCTACTTCACAGGTGTGTGTCACGAGTCAAAGGAGGGGTCTGGTTGAGAAGATGATGGTCAGCGGCCACTGCGCTGCCAATCTGGGACGGGCTGCAGGATGACGGAAGCCAACGTTCAGAGTTCTGGGTGGATGGAAGGCTCTCTGCTTCAGAACAGGTGAGTGCGTGCACACACGCACTTGCACACGCACGCACACACGCACACGACACAAACAGCAGCAGGAGATTCTGTCCTCTCTTGGTGGGGCAGGAGCAGGGGTGGGACAGCGAGAAGGCGCCACAGGAGGGAGCAGCTCAGAACTCTTCGTGTACGTTCCGGGCATAGTCCATCAGCTTGCTTCCTGTGAAGTACTCCCCATACTTCAGGATCTCCTCCATCTCGAGGTGATGGTTCTGGTTCTCGTCGGCCACTGCGATCATCTGCTTGGCTTCATTGAGAGCGTTGTACTCGTTCATGGGGTCCATGTACTCCTGTGAGAGAGGAGCCGTCAGAGGGCCTGGGGGTGGGGGCAGAGACAAGACACCCCCCCCCCTGCTCCAGCTCCCAGATGCACTAACCCCAAACGCCTTTTTACTCACAAACGACTGATTTACATACAGCCTTTCCCAGTCTCCCAAACAGAGTTACGTGAGACAGTCCTTTTCTACCCTTGTTTCCTCGGAGGCCCCTGCTGTCATCGGGGCCCTCCGCAGAGCTGCCAGCCGGGAGCAGCGGGCTGGGGAGCTCCCAGAGGAAGGACCGTTTTGACCACTGGGCACCTGAGTCTCCACAGGCTGCCACGGCAGTGACCCACTGCAGCAAAGCAGGGGGTGCCCTCTGTAAGCTGCAACGACGCCATCAGATCTGACGGATCATCCTCTTACTAATCTGGGGCCCTGAGAGCAACATCTCCTTCATTATTCCACTTCTTTCTCAGAGTCCTACCACGTGGGTACTTCATATCCTGCATTCACAAGCAAAGAGCTGCCACCAAAAAAAAAGAAAAGGCCACCAAAAACCTTTATTTAAATTAATTTCCTGACCAAAACATTGAACCACAGCGCAGACAGTGCACAGGGCCCGAAAAGCTTGCACCACCTCTGAAGCGGCCTTTCAGCAGGAGGCTCAGTCACGGCAGGGCCCAGAAGCCCGGCGCCCCTCCTCCAGAGGGAACCCTCTGAAAGGTCACCCTTGGCCGCTTCTCTTTCCATGGGAAACCGTGGGCGCAGAGGGCCCTGGCTTGGCAGGCCTTCTGCCCTGCCCCAGGAGCCCCATCCCCAGGCTGAACGCCTTCTCTGTTCCCTGGTCGTGAAGGACGACAGGCCTGCAGGGCTGGCTCTTCAGGAAGCTCCCAGCAGAGCCCTCCATGGCCAACGTGACTCCCCGCCCACCTTCTGCAAGCTGCCAAAATGATTTTCCTAAAGCACATCTCACTCTCCTGCTCAAAAAAACCAGCAGTGGCTCCTTATTTACTCTACAGTCAAATTCATACTTGTTTGCCGAACGGGCACTCTTGTCACGTTCCCCAAATATCTCCATCTGACATCTCCTTTCTCCACACCTTTGCCCAGGCTGTACCCCATGCCTAGAATGCCTTCCCCTCTGCCTCTTAGTCTCCTTCAGAGTTTACCTCAGGGGCTACCTCCTCCATGAAGCCTACCCTGACCCCCCCCAGCTGCTAGGGCCAGCCTCCCACCCACCCCAAATTCCTTCGTTTTGTATCAATCCCATCTCCCTGATACTTAGGAGGGAGCCGCCTGACAAGCTCTAGGCCTGTCCCATGCTTCCTCTGTCCTTTCGGGGACATGGTGTCTGCATGATGCACCTCCCTGCGCCCAGGTCTTCTGAAATGCCCACTGACCAGGACTCCCTGGCTGTGAGCAGCGCTGACGATCAGTAGCCTTGACGCAACGCCCAGGGAGCGAGGGCTCACACATCTCTGCTGCCCTGCCACACAGCCGAGGCTTCAGACCATCCAACACTTCTCCTCCATTTCCCACCTTTCTTGCTACAGCACAGAAGGCCGAAGGGGCAAAGGCCAGAAAGAAATTGATGCCCGAGGCCCAAACACCGGAGGCCGGGCGTCAGGAGACTGAGACCCCAGACCTTTCTTACTCATCTATTTCAGGCAACATCAGCTAATTCTCTGCGGCCAGGGGAGCTCTTCCTTGTAACTGAACTACTCAGCCTGGCCCTGCCAACTCAATGTCATAAACCCTCCTGAAGCACCTCTCCACCCAGAGTAATAAAGCAGACCCTGCTTCCCACACAGCCCATGAGTTAAGACGACTCTTAGCAGTTCTCTTAAAGGACAGAACCAAAGATCTGAGAGCTGGAAGAGACCGTGATCAGAGTCATCTGTAAAATCAGTCTCGAAACATCAGGGAATGAAGAAATGATGTGCCCAAGGTCACGGCACCTGCCGAGCTCTCCTGGACCCTGCCCGCCGGGCCCGGGCGGACAGCCCCCGGCCCCCAGAGCCCAGAAACACCCACCGCACCTTCTATGAGGCACTGCCAGCCCCTCCTCTCACCGCCTAAGCTCCTTCTTGTGAAGGGCAGACACCACCCCCACTGTGAGGGAGGCAAAAGGAAAAGGTTCTAAGAATGAGAAAGACTGTTCAGCAGCCAGAGAGACAGACCTGATTACTGGAGTAACTTTTCTTGTTTCTACAGAAGTCTAAATGCTGGCCAGAACTTCATTACTCAGAGCTGCGGGCAATGAGGTGCCTTGTGACTTTCCTCTAGGAATAAATTTGAGGGGGTTCCCGAGAGCCAGGGGGAGAACCAGATGCTGGTGCGGAGAGGTACCAGAGCCACAGCACTGAACCAGGCGTCCTTGAAAACCTCTCATGAATCGTAAACAGTGTCTTCTCTCCTCCTCTCTGCTCCCCCTTCCCCTTCTCTCTCTCTCCACCTCCCTCCTTCTCCTCCTCTGTCTCTCCCCACCTTTCCCTCTCCCCTTTCTCCACAAATAACATACATCTCCAAAAGTGTGACACACTTCAGTGAGGCAGGGTGGCAAACTAGAGAGAGATAACCGTGGAGTCAGGAAGCCCCAGGTTCAATCCTCACCTCTGCCACAGCCCAGCCGTGGGACCCGGCACAAGACACTTGGCCTCTCCAGGGCTGGCAGAGGGAGGGTCCTCACTGACCACCTCGGAACTTAACGACATCATCCACTATGGGGGATGGTTCTCAAACACTGACTGGCCTCCTACTTAAAACCTATGAATGCCCAAAGCCTAGTTTAAGAACTAATCCTTGGATTTTCAGGTCAGAGGCATGAAGGTGGGCAGACTGGATAATCGAGATAGGAATGACAAGGCCTCCCCACAAAGGAACAGTTCCTGTTACAGAGTGTGACGCTTTACAGAGTGGTAAGAGGGGTGTATGGACCCTGCCATCACTGAGCTGTTCTATATGAGGACCAGAAGGACTGTCTGTTCCTGGAGTGGAGAGCAGGGCCCCCTCCTGTCCCTGGCCTAAGCTACCCTTTCAACACTGTGACCCAAGGGGCGCCACATCAAACCAGCGCTAAAAGCCCAAACGTTCAGTCTGAGAGTAGGGCCTGCAGAAAGTTGGATGAAACTGGTGGCCACTCATTTTTTCTGGAGAGCCACAAACAGGTTTTGGGGGAAGAATGGTAGAGATTGAAAAGAAATTATTTTTTGTCCTTCCAACAAGATTTGATTCCACAAGTACTCTAGACTAGGCTCAGCACCAGGAAGGAAGGGACACAGATCAATGGGACCCCGTCTCTGACCCCGAGGAGGCTGGAGGTGAGTCACAGCCTTCGGCCCTCCGGGCGCCATGAACAGAGGATCCCCACCAGCCCCTCTCCTCTGTCAGAGATGGGATTCACCCAGGTTCCCCAGCAGAGGTTGGCTGACCTGAAATGGCAGAAAGCCCCCAAACTGCCAGGCTAGTCCAGCCTGATCACAGTCTAATGAAGGCAGGGCCCGCCCCTCAGACCTCACCTCTAGTTCCTCCATGGTGACAATTCCATCGTGGTTAGCATCAATTACTTCTTCAAATTCCTTCTTTCTGTCTTTCACCCAGTCGTCATCAATGTCTTGGGCCTGCTGGTTTTCAACCGTCCCCACAGGCAGGGAAATGAACTCAGACAAAACCAGCTTCTTATCACCGTCCTGGTCTGGAAAAGAGGTTTGAAGAAAGAAGGAGCATGAAAGCAGAGCAGCAGAGACAACTCAGCCCTAAGCACACAAAAGGCCGTCTAAATCTGCGGAAACATCAATCTAGCTCCTAGGCTCGTTTTCTCCTGGAACAAACCAGACCACAAATTCCACATATCTCACTAGTCTGTGGTAGCTGAGGTACCTTGAAGCACAGACACTATGTGAGGTGCCACCGAATTAAAGTCATCAAGAACAGACATCCTCAGGGAAGAAAGCTGAGGGTGCCCACGACAGATACAGGCATGCCCAGCGAACCCCAGAGGGCATCACCCCTCCCGCCTGGTGACGGAGTCACTTGGGCACGTCCTGGGCCCTCCCTGCCCACCCCAAGTAAGTTCTCTGCATCTCCCCCCAGTGCGCCTGACGAGCGCGTGGACCAACCAGTGATCCGCCAGATCACAGTAGTGTAACTTTAGAGCCAAAAAGGGACCCAGAGGACACCAAGTCACTGATCATCAGATCTCAGATTCAGAGCCCAAAGCCATCTACTGCAGAGGAGAAAACTGAGGCTTAGAGAGGCTCACAGCTTTGCCCAAGGTCACACAGCAAGTCCCATCAGAGGCAGCAGCGCAAGCCCAGGCTCCATTCTCTTTCTTGCTGACTCTCTGCAGAACTGGACGCTACTGGACTCCTGGCCTGTTGTCCGCTTCTCTCCTGCCCTTTCAATGGCCCTGCCCCTCCCACCCTCCCCATCTGACCGCTCCTTCTCAGCCTATCCTCCTGGATCCTCCTCCCCCAGCTCTGCTCTGGGCCCTCTTCTCTTCACGTTCTCAGTGAGCTCATCAAACATGATGCCTGCATGGGCCCACAGCCAGATTTTTACAAAATAAATGCCTGGCACCCAGGCACTCATAAATGCTTAATGAAGGGAAGAGTCGTTCTGCTGCCCAGAGGACAAGTCCGAGATCCTTGGCCAGGCGTAAAAATTCTGTTCTCTACTCAGGGGCCTCAGTCTTCTTTGCCTGAACCTCATCTCCTGCCACTAGTTTACAGGAATCTCCCGCTCCAGGGCAGCCGACTCGGGACCCTCCAAGTTCTGTCTGGCATTCTCACCTCCACAGCGTGGCTAGGCATGCCCTCCCATTCTCCAGCCACCTGTATCCCTTCTGAAAGGGCCAGCACTGGGGTCTTTTCTTCCTGGGAAGCCTGTGCTAACCGCTCACGCCCACAGGGCTCTCCTCTTCCCTAAATGGACCTACTGTGTGCTCAAGGCACTGTTCTGGGTCTTTGTGGGATACATACTTGGGTAAGACACTAGTCTAGCCCTCGAGGGGCTTGCAAGTAAAATTCCAAATGACTCTCTGCCATCAGTTAAAATCAAATAAAATTAGATACAGACAGATATATAGCTTAAAGAAAAGAACAGCTTTCGTGCCATGAAAGAAAGCAAAGCTATCTCTACTTTAACGAAGAAAATAGTTTCTCCACAGATTCATTCTTCAGCACTGCAAAGCACAAGGCAGAGATAAGAAGGTGCCCTTCAGCAGAAGCAGTGTTTCACTGGTGGTAAAACACAAGAAATCTCACAAGAGAGGTCACACACTCCTCTTTCACACAGAACAGCACATAATTCTATATACATATATATGCATACTTACGTATGATTAGATACAGACAGTACCTAGTACATATCAGATATATATAAAACATATCTATATATTAAATATAGATCTATATTGGATATATAGATACTATATAGTATAGTAATTGTTCCCTAATAAGAAGTCGAGTAAGGAAGACAGAGAGTAAGGCAGAGCCCTGGAAAGATTCCCGAACAGCTGCCCAGGAAGGGAAAATCCCTAAGATCACGTGGATTTCCAAAACCAGGTTTTACATCATTGTGTTAAAATGTCCAGGAAAAAAAAAGTCATATAATTAGAGTGGGCCTAGCTTTTATGGGTTAGGAATGAAAAAATAAACCAAAGGAAGAAACTATCAGAATCGGAAAGAGCACAAAAAACAAACGTAAGAGAAAACTTATTTTCAAAGGTATAAGATTAAGGAAGGGAGAGGAGAGAACCAGCAGTCAGTTTCCCCTTGAGAGTGAATTATAAAAAACAACTTTTTTTTCCCCTAAAGTAAACCACAAAATTTACATTGTTAATAAATTCTACCACAAAAACACAGGTAAAAAAAAATTTTTTTAAACTTCAGGGAAACTTTTCTACAAGGGATACCAAAATAATAAAAGCTGAAAGTTAAAAATGGTTTCATAGATAGATCTAGTTTAACTTTCTATCCAAAGCTGTAAGAGAGTCAGTCATCTGTTCCTTAAATACTTCTGGTGTCAGGGAACTCACCACTAGGTTATAAAGCCACCTATTCCATGGCTAATGCTCTGGGTGAAGCATGCTGAAATCTGTTTCTCCACATGTCTGATGCATGAGCTATACAAGCCAAGTTAAGTCCAGATTCAGAGCTCAGAGATACACCTGTACAAACTGATACGCTGTGAAGTTACTGCACCAGGAAGATGAGAGACGACAACCCAGCTGAAAACAAGCCTGCACGGCATCTGTCGTCCAGACCGTCCTGCTCCGTAGAGCCAGGGGCCTTTCCTGCCAGCCCTGGACTTCTTTATCACAATGGGCTTGGAGGTTACAAGGTAAACGCAGAAGGCAAATACAAGACTGGACTGGGACGTAGAAACAGAAGTTATATCAGTAAAAACCAACAAAATGGGCTCTCGTGCCTTTCTGTTCTCGCTCTCTTAAGGCCCTCTCACCAGTCTCCACACGCCAGCTCTGTCTCCTCTCTACCCAAGAGCCCCTGGGCTCTCGTCGCCCTGACCCACGCTAGGTGAGGGTGAAGCACATACCCAAGTCCCGCACGATTTCCTTGACCATGAACTTGAGCATGCCCCTGCTGTGTTCTGGATGCAAGAAGGACAGGAACTCCTCCTCATTCAGTAGCAGGTCGGCTGGAGGGTTGTCGGCCTGATACCAGCGATCCTTGAGGTTATCGAGAACTTCCAGGGCTGAAAAAAAGGACATGTCTCATTAGCACAGATAATCACAGGTGCCACACATGCAACACCCTAATTTTCCACAGCTGAAGGGGGATGTTTCTGGGGAGTTCTGATTACATATGTTTTAAAAAGAAAAGATCACCAAATTGGAATTTTAAAAAGTCATCATGACCATTCCAACATAATCCCATGTGACAAAGCCATTTACATGGGGAAAAAATGGAAGTGTTGACTTGTCCTCTCCTACAAAGACACCTTTTACTGTGCAGAATAAAGGATGTAATCACCTGAAACTGGATTTTATTATTATGAAAACTAGGGAAATGGGGGTGGTCTGCCACAGTGGTGCTAATACACTGAGTCAAAAATTAGGGTGCACTGAAGGAAAGTTACATGCCTTTCTTAGCCCAAGGTGGGCCCCCCCAGGTCACAAGATCTATTTGACAATCAATCCACATTCTCTAGTCTCCTTCTCTGCCCCGACCCTGACTCCAGGCCTTCTGAGACAGCCTTATGATTTCCTCCTCAGCACCAGGACAAGCTCCATGAGGAAAAGGGCTGTTTGTTTTTGTCTCTGCGCCTTCATCACCTAGCACAATGCCTGGCATGAAGAAGGCACTTAATAAAGGCATAAGTGATGTGCAAGAGGAGAGGAGGTCCTTCCCCACAGCTACAGAGCGACAGACAGACATCACTCAGAGCCGCCTGAAGGCTAGGGAACACTGCTGTGTGCACCAGTGGGCAGACGGTCTTTCTAAGACTACTTCGGCAACTGCAGACAGACCATTCAAGGACTAGACAAGATGAACGTCATGCCTTGGTCGCACACGCTTTTGCCAAACAAAAGGTCAGAGGCCGGCACGCACCTCCTGAGAGGGTGAGAGAGACTGACAAAGATGTCAATGATCTCAAGGAAAAGGCTTTGCAACTCTGACCCGGACAGGAAGACAACACGATTGCTTCAGTGTTTGGAGAAATATGCACGCCAGCATCCCAAGACAGCACAAGCAAGAGGATGCCTGCTCTGCTTTACAGTCTCACCTGCCCCACACCCCTGGCATCAGTCAATTCAGGAGAGACAAACACTTACCAAGCTCTTGGTGGCAAGGTCCCAACTACAAACAACAGCTGCTGCCGGACGGGAGCCTAGCCAGAATGCCGGCGTCTAGTGCAGCTGTTCTCAGAGTGGTCCGAGGACCCTCAAGGCCCCGAGACCTTTTCAGGGGGTCCAAGAGGTCAAATCTATTTTCATAATATCCTATGATATTATCTGCCTACATCTCTTTTTTTCAAACTACATATCTATATGATTTCTTCATACACTTCACATGCAGGTTTATTGTTTCAAGCTCTAATACAGCCATCATCAACAGCAAATAAACCCCCATTTTATGAAAGCTCTTTGGTATCCTCGATTATTTTTGAGAGTATAAAGGGGTCTTGAAACCAAAATACTTCAGAACTGCTGGTCTAGTTCACTGCCACTAATAAGTGGAACCAGAAAGATGGCACTGTTAGAAAGACAGGCTTCAGAGACTACCAGAAACAAACCCAAAGGGTAGGACCATGCATTCCAACCCCGAAACCTCGGACAGCCTGCTGATGCCCTCAAGAAGTAACAAGGCCTGAGTGATACGCGAAGGAATAAAATACGACTCAGTGTAACAGCAAGCCCCGCCAGGGAGGAGTTACTCAGACCATCCGGGGGCTGAAGCCCAGCAGAGGGTCTGTGACTTTCCAGATGCAGCTGCCCCTGATACCGGCACTGATGACGGGAGAGTTGGTCAGTCTTTGGGGATGCGGGATACTACATGGTTTAAAGTCTGATCGATCCTCCACATGACAGACTTCCAAGAGGCAAAGCAGACCTCATTCTTTTACCTGACCTCACTGGGCACAGGCTCAAGCACCTCTGCCCTCCTGGCTGCCCCTCTTGGGCACTCCCCAGTTATAGGAACATCCCTGCCGCCCATAAGAGAACACGACACTGCAGATGAGGCCTGATGACAGGGCACAGCAGACAAGCACCCCCTCATGCCTCGGCACCACACCTCTCGAGGTGACCCACCACCACAGCGCTTTTGCTGCTGCCCTCTCACACGAGTTGACAAGTGTTTATTTAATGCTCACCACATGCCAGGTATAACACTAAGTGATGAGAATACAAATACGAGCAGAAAGAAAATCAGTCCCTGCCTGCCCTCCAGGAGCTTCCATTCTAAAAAGGGAAGAGAACCTAGAAAAAGAGCCTGGAGGAGGAAGGGCCTGGAGGACAAAGTCTAGACAGTGGACACGTGGGAGTGCAGCCCACGAAGACAGGGCTGGCCTGGGCTCTTTCCTGAAAAAGCAGGTTCTGGGAGGAACCGTCTAATCTAATAAGAGGAAGGGGCTATAGGGACAGAGTGACTGTCTGTGAACAGACTCTGTGTGTGTACATATCCCTCTCCCAGTAAGGACGTTGGCCAGCCCTCATGCGAGTCACCAATAACTTGGTTATTACTGCTGGAGCTGTTAGCCAGCTCGGAGACAGTCCTTTCTTTGCAGATAACATCAGAGACCCTGATAACACCACAGCCCCTTCCTCTGATTATGGAGACAAGATTCTTGTTTCTCTTGTCTTTTTCATTAAGTGGAAACTATACTACCAACACTGAGTCATATACAACCGAAAACTTGACAGAGAAACAAAAGGCCAATTCTCTTCTTACTACAGGTTATTTTCATGCACAAAAGAACAGACTACAAGAATTTCCATGAAAAGTACATTGCAGAATGTCATTTCTTGCTGTACTAGAAGAGACCAGACAGGGATAAATATCATGAAAACGAGATTTGGAAGAGTCAAGTTTCGGGATGCAAATCAACACACCGCACCTGAGGCCTGGCTGGTGGGCCACGCTGCCCCAAGCCCCGTGACTCAAAGGGCTGTCTTGGGCCCTCTATCCTGAATCCCCCCTTCCCACCCCCTTGTTCTACTCTCCTATGTATCTGTACCCTTGTCCTAGCTCCCCAGAAAAGCATACACTCCCGAATCTCACTCAGTCCATCTCAGTGAGGGTCCAGGCACCAGGGCAGAGTGAACGCAGTGTTAGGGGCAGTGTCAGGAAGCCCCAGATGCACATCACTTACTAGCTGTCAGAGCCATGAGCTTCAGGGTCCTTCTCACCAACAGAAGCCCTCGCACAAGACTACTGAGAGGTTCAAACGAGAGAATGTGTGCAAAAGGCTTGGTAATCTCCATACAGCCCCAGTGCTAGGCACAGGGCCTTGTACAAAGATGAGCGCTAGACAAAACGCAGATGTGAGCCCAATACGTTATTGTGGCCTACTCAGCATTTCTGTAAAGGAAAATTATACACATGGTCCTAAGACTAAGGGAAAATACCTGTACTGCAGAGGAGCTGAAGTCAGATTTGCATTTTGGTGGCTTTTTGATGAATAAGGGGTAAAAAAAACAACCAATTTTCAAATGACTAATCCCACATAGATCAAAGGAACACAGAACCTGCGTTGGAAGGGACCCTAGGGGCCATCAGGTCCAAGTAGGAGCTGTATAAGGATCCCTTCTACAAAATTCCTCAAGCCCCCCGGTGAGGGTGGGGGAGCCCACCACATCTAGGGCACAGCTCTGCAAGGGGCCTGAACCTGCCTCTCTGTAACATCTACTGATTGCTGCCACATATCCCTGAGGTCAGCTAATCAAAGACCCCAGGGCTCTCGTGTCCATCCATCCTGTCTGCCCCACCTTCCCCTCCCCTAACAAATCTCTTTTCCAAGGTCTCCAGGTCACCATCCTGGTCATCCTCCCCTCTGGCCATTCTTTCATAAACAGTGGTGCCCCAACTGGACACGTCCATGTGGTCTGAGCAGGGCAGAGGACAGCAAGCCTGGCCCCCTGCTAGTCCTCGGGCAGAGACCCTCCCATTCCTCTGAAGGCAGGCACAGGTCCCATCTACTTTGGGCTGCCACGTCACACTGTGACCCACCCTGAGTCCATTAAAACCCTAGAAGTTTTCCACATGCACCACTGTCTAGATATGCCCCCTCCTCTGTGTTTGTGAAGTCATCTTCTGAACCCAACAACAAAACTTCACATTTATTCCTATTAAATTTCACTCTGTGAGATTTAATCCCTTATTCCAGCCCACCGAGATCTTTGGCGAGTGGCACATTAATATTGACAACCCTTCCCAGCTTAGGGTCCTCTTTATATTGAAAAGATATGCCAGCCAGGCTTTCTTTCAAGTTAATGATTCAACTTTTTTTTTAATTTAATTTTTTGTTACATTTCAAGTTCTGAACTGTCTTCCTCCCTCTTCATCCCTAATGGTTCAATTTTTAAATGGCCCAGGGCCAAAGAAAGATTCCTGTGACATTCCATCGAAGACTTCCCCACAAGATGACATGGATCTGTTAATGATTACTTTGGGGTCTCCAGCCCACACTAGCTTGTCTATACGGAGAACATGAGCGACTCTGTCCAATACTTTGCTGAAATCTAAGCAGACCCTCCATCATGCTGGCCGACCAGCTTAAGTAAGCCAGGCCAAAAAGGAGATCAGTCAGTCCTACAGGACCTCTTCTTCAAGAAGGCTCTCTGTGATCAACATTCCCTTTAGAAATACTTACATATAAGGGGATGTCAGACTGTGTCCAGCTTTCCTATATTTCTTCATCATGAGATGATATATAAGATGAAGAAGTCACTCATTAACCCCAAAGTCATCCTCATTTCCACTTCAGCAGCAAGATACTTCTTACAAGCCAGCATGAGGCCCAGAATAGCAGTGGCCCTGGATAATTCTACCATCTTTTGAAGAATGAAATCAATACTGTTGTGATAACATATGTAAAATGTCTTACAAAACTTGAAGCACGGGGCAGCTAGCTGGCACAGTGGATAGAGCACCAGCCCCTGGATTCCGGAGGACCTGAGTTCAAATCCAGCCTCAGACACATAACACTCACTAGCTAGCGATGTGACTTTGGGCAAGTCACTTAACCCCAACTGCCTCACCAAAAAAACAAACAAACAAAAAAAAAACCCTTGGAGCACAATGTAAACGTCAGGCCCCAGCCCAGCAGCTACTGTTAAGTTCACATTTATCAACTGCTTGGCTTTTGCCAGAGAGAGTGCCAGGAGATCGCCAGAGATATTTGCAGGAGAAGTCTCTGCCAGGCTGGTGAACTTTTCAAACTCATCATCAATGTCCTCCTTCTGTCTTGCTAGCCTGTAGTATATTACCAAGACAGCTACACTTCAATTTCTTCCCCCACTGATCCTCAGCCAAATATTCCTGACCATATTCCACCTTGTCCCCCACTGGAGCCCCCAGACTCCTCACACAAATACATCTTCTTAATATGCGACGTTTCTCTACTTCCCTAATCGAATCAGCATCCTTCTTTCCACAGCCATGTTTGCAACTTGCCCCCTCAGGTTAATACCTCCAAGACACCCTGCCTATTACTCATATCTTGTACATTTATGTATGAGAACCATGTGTCTCTACATAATCACCAGGAGCTGACTGTGGCATTGGGGTTTAACTCATCTGGTAAGTTCTCTATCCTGTCCTAGATACCGGAGACATTCAGAAGAGATTCAGCTGGACATCAGGAAGAATACTTAACTTTCAAGACATAAGACACAACCCTAGACCACCCAAGACTACAGTACCTCCTCAGAGAGCTTCAGGAAAACAATAAGAAACCATCTGGCAGGGAGAAGGGTCAGAGAATTTAATGAATGAGGCTTTAGTTTTAATATTCTTTAGCTTGTAGACTAGTAAAGTAAAAGACTAGTAAAGACAGATCAAGCTCAAAAACCATTCTTCTTACTAATGTGTCTAGAATTCAACTCCTCTGCCTGCTCTTGGATGTAAAGCACCCTACCCCCAGCCCTGCACATCTGGCAGTTAATTACCTCCCCACCCCCCAGCCCTGCACATCTGGCAGTTTAGTTACCCATGACCCCAGCCCTGAACATCTGGAAGTTAGTTACCCATCACCCAGCCCTGTACATCTGCAAGTTACTTCCACCCCCACAGCACATCTCTCCCCTTTTCAAGTCAAAGCAAATGCTCCACCAGGACTGCACCAACAGACCTCCCACCATCCTGGTTCTGATGGCCCAATACCCAGCTAGCCCAAGAAGGAAGCAATGCGAGCCCCAAAAACCTGGGGGCTACAAGGCTCTTGTGGACTTACTTTCTTCATCAATCTTCAGCTCCTCATTGTTCTTTATCTTTTCTGCAACCTCTTTTTCATTGTGACCCTTGCTTGCCAAAAACTTCACTTTATATTCGTCCCAAGACACACGGCCTAAAAGAATATATCAAACACATTAGAATATTTAATAATACATTGTTATGCTCCTCTGATACAGCTGTTAAGCTCTTGATACTACAGTTCTATGCAAAAGACAGGAAAATCCCCAATTACTCCTGTCCTATACTCACTGTGGTTATGGGGGAAGCCTTCCCAAATACTTAACTAGTTGATTTTCTCTCTGAACGAAGACCTCAAAAATACTTTTCTTGAGCCTAATTTTACTTTCAGGTAAAGCGGGGTGTGGTATGTGTGTGATGTGGTAGAGAAAAGCAGATGAATAAGAAACCACGCTGGCTTCTCCCTTCCCCAGTAGTTCATAGCTCAGCGCAACCTCTCTATAGGCACACCACCCCAGAAAATACGACGGAATAGAATGAACCCAAAGTAAAAGGCAGTATGGTTAGAGGAAGCCTTCATAACAACCGAAAAACAGAAGACACCACAAAAGACAAATCAGACTATTTACATTACGTAAAATTTTAAAGATTTTGTACAGACAAAATCAATGTAACCAGAATAAGAGGAGAAGCTGCCAGGCTGTGTGTGGAAAAACCAATGAACACTTCTAATTAAAGTTTGCTAAGATATAAACTTTTTAAAGATAGGAATACTTTTCAAAAGAAATTAACACACATATGAAAAAATGTTCCAAACTGTTCATAAGAAAAACAGAAAATGAAACAACTCTGCCGTTTTACTTAATCCCCAACAAACTGGCAGTGATGACAAAAGAGGGAAGCGGTGCAGGGTAGAGAAGCTGGAGGAAGAGGAACACCTCAATCCACTGTTCCTGGCGCTCTGGAATGATTCAGAATTTCTCTGAAAAACAATCTGAAATCATGGCAGTGAGTTTTTCATAGCCTCTGCCCAGTGAGGTCAATGTAGAGAGGGTCCACATTGTGCCACAAAAGATAACAAAGAATAGAAAAGAGGAATTCATGGAACACTAATGCATTGTTGGTAGAGTTGTGAGATGATCCAACCATTCTGGACAGCAATTTCAAACTGTGCCCAAAGGGCTATAAAAGTTTGTATACCCTTTGACCCAGCAATAGCACTTCTAGGTCTGTATCCCAAAGAGATCATACAAATAGGAAAAGGACCCACGTGTACAAAAATATTTATAGTAGCTCTTTTTGTGGTGGCAAAGAATTAGAAATTGAGAGGATGCCCATCAGTTGGGGAATGGCTGAACAAGTTGTGGTATATGAATGTAATAGAATGCTATTGTGCTATAAGAAATGATAAGCAGTTGTGCTGCTTCCCAGCAATACAAGGATCTAAGACATCTCCAAAGGCCTCATGATAGAAAATGCTATCCACATCCAAAGAAAGAACTATGGAATGTGAATGCAGATTGAAGCATACTATTTGCTATTTTTTTTCTCTTCTGTTGAGTTTTGTTTCCTCTTTCTAGTGGTTTGTCCTATTGGTTCTAATTCTTACTTACAACATCACTAATGTGAAAATATGTTTAATAGGAATGTATATGTATAGCCTATATCAGATTGTGTGCCATCTTGGGGAGGGTGGTGGGGAAGAAGGAGGAGAAAAATTTTAAACTCAAAAGCATTTGGAAGTGATTGCTGATAAATCAAAATAAATTAATTTAAAAAAAAAAAGAAATGATGAGCAGGAGACTTCAGAAAACCTGGAAAGACTTATATGGACTGATGCTGAGTGAAGTGAGCAGAATCAGGAGAACACTATACACAGTAAAAGCCACATTGTGCGATGACTAACGTTGACAGACTTAGCCCTTATCAGCAATGCAAGGATCTAAGACATCTCCAAAAGTTTCGTGATGGAAAATGCTATCCACATCCAGAGAAAGAACTATGGAGTTAGAATGCAGATCGAAGCATACTATTTGCTATATTTTTTCTTCTGTTTTGTTTTCTCCTTCTTGTGGTTCGTCCTATTGGTTCTAATTCTTACTTACAACATCACTAATGTGAAAATATTTAATAGGAATGTGTATATATAGCCTATATCAGATTGTGTGCTCTCTTGGGGAGGGAGGGGGGAGTGAGAAGGAGAAAAACTTAAAACTCAAAAGCTTATGGAAGTGATTGTTGATAAATCAAAATAAATTAATAAAAAAAAGAGTTCAGAGAAAGAAAGAACGTCTGGTCAAGAAAGTATGAGCAGGTAAATAGGCATGACTCTTCCTAGAAGATAAAGGGAAATAACTCTAAAATACATCTGGATTCAGATTTAGTGCAAGAGCCAATCTGGGCTACTGGCAATGGCAAAACTCTCCCCTTCTTTTGGGGATCACAGGAATGGAAGACGCTGCCAATGCTGCCACATTAGAGGTGATGTTGGCTGGTTCTGTGCAACTGTTTTTCTTGGTATACGAGGGAGGATTTCACGCAGGGAGAAGTTCATTAAGAAGCAATTACAACTTAAAAAGCAAATGGCACACATAAACATTAAAAAACAAAAAAACACCAAAATTTCTAGGATGTATCAAAAGCAGTTCTTAGAGGAAAAATTCTCCCTCTGAAGACATACATAAACAAAATAAGAGTTTTAATGAACTAAGTATGCAATTTTAAAAGTAAAAAAATGAAAAAAAATAAACCCAAGATATGCAAAAAAGAGGAAATCTGGAGAATTAGAAGAAAAATTTTAAAAAATATATACACTATATAAAGATAATTAAAATAAAAAACTTGGTTCTTTGAAAAGGCTAATAAAAATTAATAAAACAGTTAACCTGCTCACAAAAGGAGGAAAATCCAGTTACCAAAAATTAAAAAAAAAAAAGATGAAAACCACAACAGAAAATAAAGTATTTATCAGAATGAATGAAAAAGCATTTATTAAGAGCTTAGTATGTGCCAAGCATTGTATTAAGTGCTTGGGATACAAAAAGAAAAGTGAGACAGTCTCTGCTCTCAATGAATGAACATGATCACAAGAGACAATACAGAGGAAAGTTCATTCAGCTATAGGGCAGATGGCAAGCCCCAGTGGTCCTTGGGGTGTCACAACAAGACAGATGGCAATGCACAGGGCACAGGACTTACTACAGACATTTATGTGCTAGCAAAAATGAGAATTTAAAAGAGGTAGAGTATTGTTTACAAAAATAAATGAACAGAATATCAAATAGAGAACTTAAAAGTTTCAGAAAATAAAATTAAACAAACAGTAAAGGATATATCAAAGGAAAAAAAAACAAAACAGTGGTCCAGATGGATTTGCAAGGAAAACAATTAATACCTATGCTACACAAGTTATTCTCAAAAACCTGAGAAAGAAAATATTCTATCAAGCTCCTGTTAGGAGATTAAATCCTAACACTTAAACCAGGGAAGGCTCAAAGAAAGGAAGAGAATTATAGACCAATGTCACTAAAGCATATGGATATAAAAATTTTAAATAAAATCCTAGCAAAAAGACTATAATAATATATCTCAACATTCATATTTTAAAATTTTGAGTTCCAAATTTTCTCCTTCCCTTCAGCGACTACCCATCCATTGAGAAGGAACACAATATAATATCAATTATGCATGTGAAGTCATGCAAAACATACTTCCATATCAGCCACACTGCAAAAAAAAAAAAAAGAAGAAAAATAAAGTGAAAAAAAGTACGCTTCAATCTACACTCAAAGCTCATCAGTTTTCTCTCTGAACTTGGATAGCATTTTTCATCATGAGTCCCTTGAAACTTGTCTGAGATCACTATATTGATTAAATAGCTAAGCCTTTCACAGCTGTACATCATAATATACAGTAATGTGTTTTTAAATTATTTACTATAGCCAAACTGAATTGATATTAAGCATGCAAAAATGGCTCAACATTAGAAAAACAAGTAATATAACTGAGCATATAAAAAATGGAGACATACTGCCATGTAATCATATTAAAAACACAAAAAAGCTTTTAAAAATAAAACATTCATTTATAATTTAAAAAAAAAACTCTTCAAAGTATAAGCATAGATGAACCTTTTTATAAAAAAATGATAATATATGTCCAAAATGGAAAGCTGACACTGGGGAAAGCAGAGATGCCTTCCCAGTAACTAGAGGAGTAAAGCTATTTGACATGTTCTAGGAATCCTAAGGAGAGTAATTAGACAAGAGATAAAAATAAACAGCAGACAAAAGCAGACAAAATTAATCCTATTTGTTGGTGGCACAGAGATGCAGCAAACAGCTAATACAATGGCAATAGCTAGCAACAGCAAGCATTTATATTGTATATATATATAAACATATATATATATATATATATATGTGTGTGTGTATATGTATATGTGTATATATATATATTTGTTAAGTGCTTTACAAATACGATCTCGTTTGAGCCTCACAACAACCCTGGGAGGAACGTACTGTTATTATCTCCCTTTTACAGATGAGGAAACTGAGCTTAAACGTCTCGGGGAGGTTCACAAAGTGAATAGGTATCTGAAGCTAAATCAGAACTCAGGCCTTCCTCACTCCAGGACTAGCTCTCTATCCACTGAACCAGCTAGATGAGGAAATACCCAATCAAGAAGGCAGATACAAATTAAACCCACAAATAAACAGCATTTCTATATAACAACAATAAAACCCAGGGAACAATAATAGAAAGGAAAATCCCACTCAAGAGACTAGAAAGTGCATAAGTTATCTTGGAGTCAATTTAACCAAGGCAGACACATCAATAAAATTATAAAATTCTTTAAAAACTAAAGAAAAACTTAAAAACACTCAAAGGGATACTCGTTCACCAGCCTCAATATAATAATAAACATGACGATACTACAAAATTAATTGATAGATTCTATACTGTACCAAACCTCCAACAGAATACTTTACAGATCTCGGCAAAGTAATAATCACACTCCTTTGGATTTACAAAACTTCTAGGAACACTGGAAAGCCACTGGGCAGAAACGAAGCTGGCTGCTGCTGCTGAGCCACATCTGCCTCTTTGTGACCCCGTGGATCTTAGCATACCAGGCCCTTCTATCTTCCACCA